CTTCCTTATCCAAAACTCCGCACCGTATCCCACAATGTTTTTGTTGCTTTCCCCCGGCTCTACCGGTAGAATATAGCCAAGTCGCCTCGAGAGACACGCAGCGCCTTGAGCTTCTCCACGATCTCATCGTCGGTGAGATCTTGCTCGGTGATGATCTGGTCAAAATGATGACAGCCATCCGTATACTTCTGAATAGGATCGCCGCCTTCGACGGGGTGGCTCTGACCAGACACCAGAGCAGCCAAGTACTGTTTCGAGACGACGTATTTATGCACCCGATAGAGCAAGCCCTTGATCAGGCCAAACTGGACGAAGCGGCGGACATCGATGTAGCGCAGCACCTCGAGCCCGGCTTCCTGGTGGGCCCAGAGCCATTCGATGACGGTGCGCCCAGGAACGAATGAGGTCATGAGCCTGACGAAGTGGAAATTGCTGAGGCGGCGCCCGCCATGAGAGACGTACTCGGCACATTCGTCGATCATACCGTCGATGTTCTTCACGAAGTCATGAATACCGGGCCGAGGCGCATAGCAGGCTCCAAAGAAAAACATGTCGAGGAGCAGAATGGTGTCGTAGTAGAGGAGGTGGCGGAGCGCTGTTTTCGCCAGGTCTAGGGAGACGTGGGCAGCATGGGCGATGCGCCGGACGTCAGATACACCGTCGATATGAGAGATTACTTTTTGAAGGGTGAGATCCCAGGTTGGGTCGACAATATCGGAGAATTTGGTTTTAGAGACCGGGACGTGCCAGCCTTTAACAGGTGGTGGGTTGGGGTGAGGCGGGAACAGCTTCATATTGATGGTATTGGCCTCGTCTATTGAAGATTAGGAACGGAGTCCGTTGGAGGAATGTTTTTTCTCTTTTTGTTCTTTCTTAGGGAGGAAGCTTACCAACAGGGATCATGCACTCTCCATAGTTGTTGAGGTCTTCCTTGACGATTTCTAGTAAACTCTCGATAGGCCTTCTTGACTCATAGCCGCCTCGGCCATCTGATTCGATCAGTCTCCCTTCACTTTGGCTCAGATACTCATTCTGCTTTTCCATTTCAGAAAAAGTCGCAGCAAGCCTCCTGACAACGGGCTCGTAGGCAGCTTGGTCGACATCTGCCTCGACAAGCAGACCGAAATTGAAGATGAATTCGTTTCTCATATACTTAGTATGAGGGATGAGAACGGGGTACCCCAGGATGGAGTATTTGCCCTCTGGGCAATTGATGGTGACATAGCGATTACAGAAGGCCTGGCGAGGGATGATGTACTCATGAAGGACGTCAAAGTCCACCAGAGGGGCCCTCAAATTGCTGCTGGCGTTGCCGCCGGATGTCGCAGAGTCGACCGGTGTGATGCAGCCCGGAGGAGACTGAGCGACAATTCTGGGGCCTAGAAGCAAGATTGTGAGTGTCATGAAGCGCGATAGGAAGATGAGATGCGTGTATACCTTCTTGGGGGAAGAATCTCGCATAGAAGATGCCTTGGATCATGATGGAAAGGCGAATGTTGCTAGCATATTTAACCACCCCGGATGATGAGCACCTAGGAAGGCTTGCCAAAGTGAAACATACAAGCCAGGCCTGATTAGCTGTGCTTGTGGAATGAACTGAGCTGCCTCGACTAATCAAATCGTTTGTCTAATCATTCAATTCCGGTATGTGAAAGCCAGGGTGGTGATGGAGTCAATGGAAGTTAGCTTATTAGTGAAGAGGTTCGGCGGGATGCTGGCTGCGGCACAGTGAAGTTGGCTCTAGGTTAAGTGAAAAAAGGCTGAGGAACCGTTGAAATCCAAGAGAAACAGAAAGACCGACGATCCTTGTGACATGCATGGCTAGCGGCATCCAGCCAGTGCCCAGGCTGCTAATAAAGGTCAGCATTCAGCAGGCAGTCCTTTATCCAATCACATCTGCTCTGCATACATACATTACGACTACGTACTCGCGAATTCCCCAATGAGGCTGGACGGGATGGCATCTTGCCTGGGGCTTATCTGCCCCATGCCACCTTTTATCGGCGCGCGCTGGCCCTGATGCGTGTCTTGGGTCACCTAGTCGCAGGGAACTGGGTGGATAGCCCGGCTGCTGGAGCTAGAGGCTGGCAGTGAGTGGCTCAGCTCAGTACCTAGGCAGATGGATGCCGCCTGACCAGAGAAGCTGATGGACTCACGTCGAAGGAAAGGACGGCCGCCGTGGACATGCCAAAATATGCCAGCATGGACGACAAGATCGGGGCCTTCTCTGGACGGATTTGAGGCAGGAACCTGACCGCACGCATCTATCTCGCCATCTACCGAGTAGTCTCAGAGAGCAAACCCTATCTTTGTGCTGAAGCAGCTGGAGCGGTAGACAGCGTGCCGTTGTACAGGGCGCTCCCTTCCTAGAACCTCCACCAGTCAGTGCCGGTCCCGCCTCCCAACACCAGTGAGAACGGCTGATCAGTGTGGCAACACCACCTACCCTGATTGATCTGTCATCATCCGCTCCGTCCACCCATACGACCTGTGCAATCGCAAAGCTGCCTTTTCGCATTCCGCATTTTGCCCAGCCCAGAACACTGTGGGCAGCAGTCACCCGTCCTTCCCTCCTTCTACTTCTCCTTGGGCACACCCTTCCAATCACCTCTTGCGGAACCTGGAGCTACCTCTGTCCTTGAGCCGTCTCCATCACCGTCTCCTCAACCCCGCGCCAAGTGACTGACTGGGCCCAGACTTGTTGGTTGGCACACCCTTCTTTGGCATCCTTACCGTCTCCGTCTGGGTCCCTCGACAATTCGCATCTTGCATCTTTCACATACGCACGTCTCCCCCACCCGTACCGTACCCGACCTCGCCATGGCCGACAATGCCGAACCAGCCAGCGAGCCGCAGCAGATCACCTTCAAGGTGAAGACCTCTGGTGATAAGTCTCACACTATCACCATGTCGGAAGCCGCGACCGTTCTTGATCTCAAGACCAAGCTCTCCGGCGACGATTACGAGAAGATACCCGTCGAGCGACAGCGCCTCATTTACTCAGGCCGCGTACTAAAGAATGAGGAAACCTTGGGAACCTACAAGATAAAGCCCAACAACACAATCCACATGGTCAAGAGCGCAGCCAGCAACCCCGGCCAGCCCGCGTCTACATCTGCATCTGCAGCTACCCCTCAAGCCGTGCCTACCAATATGGCTTCAGGAACCGCCAACAACCCCTTGGCTGGCCTGACTGGCGCCCGATATGCCGGCCACCAAATTAACCTACCTGGCATGGATATGTTTGGACCCGATGGTGGTGTAAGTTGACCCCTTAGCCTGTTGCGCAATTGTGCCGTGCGCCTTGGGCACGCCTAACTTTCTTGTCTCATACTGACCATGTTCGCCTGTAGATGGGTCCCCCAATGGACGAGGAGCGTATTCAGCGCATGATGGAGGACCCTAATGCACAGCAGTCCATGAACGAGGCCCTGAACAACCCGGATTTTGTGAACATGCTGATTCAATCGAACCCGATTCTACGCAACATGCCTAATGCGCGGGAGATTATCACCTCACCTTTTATGCGGCAAATGATAAGCAACCCTTCGATGATGGCCCAGGCCATGCGCATGCAGCGCGGCATGCGAGGTGGAAATTCGGCCTTCCCAGCACCAGGTGCTACCGATACAACCCCGTCAGATGCGTCGGCGACCAACGACACTGCAGCAAATAGCGGCGCAAATGCGCAGAATCCCTTCGCAAACCCTTTTGCCGCTTTTGGTGGATATCCTGGAGGGCAGAGCGGCGGCTTTCCAGACCTCACTCAATTACAGGCGTTGTTGGGCGCCACACGGCCTCCAAACGCTGCCGCCGGCGACTCGGCAGCAGCGCCGGCATCAACAGGTGACGGTACCAGCACCAGTACCACTACCGCCGGCCAAGATTCACAGCAGGACACCCAGCAAGCGCCAGCCAACCCATTTGCGGCGCTCTTCCCCCCTCCCGGAGGCTCGCAGGCAAACCCATTTGGCATGAACCCCGAGATGATGCAGCAGATCATGCAAATGATGGGTGGCGGCGGCGCTGCCCAAGCCACGCCGCCAGACAACCGACCCCCAGAGGAGCGGTATGCGGATCAACTGCGACAGCTCAATGACATGGGATTCTTTGATTTCGATCGTAATGTAGCGGCTTTAAGACGGAGCGGTGGAAGCGTACAAGGAGCAGTGGAGTACCTGCTGAGTTCGTCGTGATTTATCGAATGGAAGGGTTAGGGTCTACACCCAGCGTGATCGGTGGCAAATCACCACTCAGGAGCGACGTAGCATACGAGAATGATTCCCGAATAATAGCTATTGCAATAGCATGAAATAACGATGGGTTATTTTCCCTGGCAAAACCTTCCTTCTTAGACATTACGCTGTGCACTATACCGTGTGTGAATATTAGTCCGCCTAGTCTGGTAGCTTTGCGGAAGCTCTTGAGAATGGTCGATGCAAGGTTGTTGAGAGGCCGGCGACAGGAGGATCGAGGAGCGAGGGATGGCGGGGCCAGATGGGACTGGGAAACAGGCTGGCCTAGAGAGCACTTGGTGGTGGTTGAATGTGGAAGACCAATAGCGTTCAGGTTATTTTGGTACGGACTGTAGACTCAACGAATCAAGTTGAGGCGCCTGCATCATTTGAAGACTTGACAACTCGCATGAGAGCCTATCGGGACTCGGCTGAGGTACATGTACTTGCGTGCCCTCGATGGTCCCTGATGCAAGAGATGCCTCGGCTGCTTATATCATGTACCCCGCGATGAGACTAACCCCTGTTGATGGTGGGAGCTTGGGGCGGCAACGGCTATAGCGCAGACCGCTAGGCCTATACATATGGGGAAGCTGTCTCGAAGTGTACCCCATGCTATCCGAGTGTTCATCATTTGTGATAATCCAGGTCCTTTTCTCTTCTCTTCACCTATCCTACCTGTATCCATCTAGAGAGTTGTTCAGCAGCTAGACACCCTATCCCCGCTCGTCTTTTCCGGATTGATATCCTGCCATCACGCCCAGCATGCGTGGGATCCAGATTGCTGAATATGTCAAGGCATGCTTCCCAGCCAACCTGGATGAAGACAACAGCTAACCAACGACCCAGAGTCCTAACGAGCTCAAAGTAACAGAGCTCCCTGACCCGTCACCCAAGCCGAATGAGTATGTCGTGCAGGTCCACGGCGCGGCTGCCAATTTCTTCGACATCCTCCAGATCCAGGGCAAATACCAGAACCAGCCACGTGAGTCTGCAGACCAAACCGCCTCGGACAGCTTTGATCTTAACCATTTTCTCCCCCCCCTACAGCCTTCCCATGGGTAGCCGGCTCCGAGTTCTCAGGCGTCGTCGTCTCCGTACCGGCTAACTCGAGCTCGGCCAAGCCCCCTCGCTTCCCCGTGGGCAGCCGCGTGTTCGGCGCCAGCCAGGGCGCCTTCGCGACCAAACTGACCGTCCCGGAGAGCGCTCTGCTCCCCGTGCCCGAGGGGTGGTCGTTCCAGGAGGCGGCCGGCCTGTTCGTCACCGCGCCCACCAGCTACGGCGCGCTGGTTGTCCGGGCCGGCATCAAGGCCGGCGACATTGTGCTGGTCCACGCCGCCGCTGGAGGTGTCGGCCTGGCCGCTGTTCAAGGTGAGTTTTTTTCTTTTTCGCAAATCTACATAAAGAAAAACCCTGAGGTGTCCATTCCCCCCCATTGTTCTCTGGGGAGCATTCTTTTGCTGTTTCGCTGGTGGCTAACCCCCCCTCCAGTCGCCAAGGCATTCGGCGCAACCGTCATCGCAACGGCGTCAACAGATCACAAGCTGGAGATCGCGAAGCGCTTCGGCGCCGACCACGTGGTCTCCTACAGCGATAAGTCGTGGCCGCAGAAGGTCAAGGCCCTGACCCCCAAGGGCCGCGGCGTCGACATCGTGTACGACCCCGTCGGCCTCGTGGACCTCTCCACCAAGTGCACCGCCTGGAACGGGCGCATCCTCGTCGTGGGGTTCGCGGCGGGCAGCATCGAGAAGGTGCCCACCAACAAGTTCCTCCTCAAGAACATCTCGCTGGTGGGCATCCACTGGGGCGCGTATACCCGGAACGAGCCCGAGGTGATCCTCACAGTCTGGAAGGGAATCATGGACCTGGTCAAGGCCGGGAAGATCAAGGGGACGGAGTACTCGGACCAGGAGTTTGTTGGCTTGGAGAGGGTTTCCGATGCGCTGACCGCGCTGGGAAGCCGTGGGACATGGGGTAAGGTTGTGATTAAAGTCCCCCAGGAGGGTAGCAGCAAGCTTTAAAGGCATTTATTAGCGGGCGGCATCAGCTGATACAATAATGGACGCGGGTGTTACGGGTTTCATCCTGGCGGTGGTGTGGTTGGTTATCCTGTTCTAGACATTAATGGAGTCGTCTATTCGTTTCATTTACTGGGCTAGCCATACCCGTTTGCTCTGCTTATAAACAAATAGGGATTCCCAGCTCCCTGGATATCATCACTGACCGTCTCTGCAAAATCACTGCTGCTGTCCTGCAGCTGCGCCCATCATTTGGCGGAACTGATCCATCACTTCCTTGTCCACGTTCACAGCCCACTGTCCCTCGAACACAGCCTCACCTCCAAGGCGGCTGACCAGATCCTGCAGTCTCTCTCTCACGAATCCAAGCGCACTCACCGAATGCACCGGATCCTTCATCTGCGTCTCTCGCTCGAGAATAATCTTCGGGTAATCGTATTCGCCCGCTTCAATTTCCGTCCACAGCAAGCTGTCCGTTCCATCTGCAGTACCGTCTTGCAACTCAGCGATTGTGTTTAACCACATGCTCACGAAGTCTTGAAGCTTTGCAAGCACAAGCTCCTGCATAGGCGAGGGAAGCTCCAAAAGACGAGTCAAGCTCAAGAGGTAAAGCTTCTGCCTCTCAATGCGATCAATCCCCTGCATGTATGAGAACCATTCCGAGGATAGCCAGCCCCAGACTTGGTCTAGACTGCCAAAGGATGTCAGCATTTGGACGAAAAGGGTTGGCTCTGCCAGGGCAAGGCGTGACACGATTGCAAGGTAGTCTCCTTCCGTGAGTGTGTTGAGTTGACTGATCTTGCGATTCGGGCCTGTGGTCTGATGCGCTTCCCATGCATCATGCAACCGACCGAGGATTTTGTTCATGAACCCTGTTTCTACCATGTCCTGAATAATAACAGAGACACCGGCAGGCCCCCCGAGCTCGACAGCAGAGCGTGTTAGATACTCAATGCACGTGGTGCCCGTACGAACGAGCTCTCTGCTCTTGGAGTCCAGAGCACCAAGTAGGGCTAGGAGGGTTGGTCGACGCAGCCGGTCCTCTAAAATAGCACTTGGAGCAAGCAAAATGTATGACTCAACTGCGAGCAAAGCCTCGGATGCAGTTTCAGACGAGTACTCCAGCAATGGGAGAAGGGTTTCGGAAAGACTAATCATCTCAGGGGATAACGGTGGTTTGCTGTGCATGAGAATCGCGTTCCATAACTCTAGTGATTCGTCAATCAGATGCACATGCAGGTCAGAGCCCTGTCTTGTTGCTTCTGTAATCAGGGGAACCATCAAGTGCTGGTAGCGTTGGGATTCGTAGCCCATGCTCATAACGAGAGCGGCGAATATGGCAATCACCCCTTGCTTGATCATGTATTCTTCTGTTCCAGAGTTGGTCCAAATTTCAGGCAAGGTTGACATGAGTTGGTCGCCAAACTGCGCTACTTGATCCTCCATGCGGGTGACAAGAATTCTGATGGATTCTAAAATTGCCAGTTTGGTTTCGTCGATGTCCACGTTTCGAGTCAGAACAACGAGCTGGTTCAGCACATCAGAAGTATAAGGGAGGAAGGCCTCGACGCTGAAGCCAAGTTCATCTGCAATCCACCTTAGCTCTCTGGCGGCTGTGATTCTCACAACAACATCATTGTTCTCATCGTTGGGGTTGAGAAAGTGCCGGAAGATTTGATACGCGATAGGGCGGCTGTGATCCTCAAGTTTTACTGGAGCCCACTGACTGATTAAGATGGCAATTCGTCGGCGGAGAATCTTAAACAATCCACCAGACTGCTGTGCATCTTGAGAGATGGTCGACGCAAGGAACGCGTCAAAGTCGAACTTATTGACGACGTGTGCCGCGGACAAGCCCATTGCAGTGTATACAGCCTCCTTTGTCGCGATGTCCGCTTGTGGGTTCTCGGCGGTTTGAAAGTAAGTCATCAATGGAGCAATGAGCAGGTCCTTGAAATTTGTTAGAAGATCTAGGAAGAGCTTTTCCGAGCAAGGCCGGACCTGCCACTCAAACGCATCGCCCTCGCTCTGCTGCTCTTTTTCCCATTCTTCTGGATCCTCTTCCCAGGCCTCCAAGTCCGACTTTCGAAACACGAAGAGATACGTGATTATGCAGTTCACAATTTGAACCACAAGTTCGGGTTTCCACAGTTCTGTCTTGACAAGTGCTCTAGCCTGCTCCTGCTCCGCTTTTGTTTGAGGAGTACGATACTTGAAGGTTTGGACAGGTTGGAATGCGATCCTGATGCAGGCTCGAAGTAGAAGAAGTCCTTTCACAGCAAGCTTCTCCAACAACGGGCCTTCAATCTTGGCTTTGGTGGCCCCGCCTCCCCCTGAACTTTGGCGAATGCCACCAGAAGTCGCAAAACTCTCAGCAAAGTTGGCAACTAGATCCCAGTATGCGCGGACAAGTGGAAGCGTGTTTGGCAGGACAGCAAATCCAGCAGCATGCTGGTCTGACATATTGATATGTAGTTTTGTGAACTGTAAAAGATGCCCCCCCGCCACCTCCTGGAAGAGCGGTGGCAGATTTGACTCGTTGCCGACGAGAACAAGTAGTTGCCCAAATTGATTTTGAGACATAGACCAGAATTGCTCTACCTTCTCATCTGCGTGTGGGCGTTCATATCCAACTATTACGAGTCTTCGTAGAATCTTCAAAGATACAAGACTAATACGTAATGACTGGTAAGCCTCTTGTTCGTTTCCTTGCCGATTAGCGAGGAAATTTATGCCAAGCTCGGATCTTTCAGAATAGATCTCGCTCAACACATGCACCATTTCAGGAGCAACCGACTGGAGGGCTGTCTGCGACTTCCTCAGGCGGGCAGTCCCCAGCTCCTTGACAACTTGTAGCAGAATCTGCAGGGTGCCGAAGAGGTGTTGCTGGTTGCCATGCCTGGATGTTCGAAGCAGCTCGATGATCTGAGGGAGGGCCTCTGGCCAATCTGCAGGATAATCTATCCGCACAATCCTCGCCACTACCAATGCATTATGTTCTGCGAGCCTCTCCTCGCCTTCGTCGATCGTACCCTGGAACAACCGTGATCGGATGAGAGCCTTCTCCTCGGGGCTGACGCCGTTCTTGATATGTGCATAGAGCCTCCAGTATCTGTCGATGCCATTCTTGAGCTGAATTACGGCTTGAAATCGAGGTTCCAGAGGTAGGGATTTGTCTAGATACACTGACTATATCATGCATTAGCGTTTTTCAAAGGGCGGCCCCAGACAGGCTGGGGAGAACGGCATACCTGCAACGAGCTGTAGTACCCGGGGTGAGTTTCCCAGGTAGTTAGCTGTTGTTCGGAGCTTTGTCTCTGGGTTGCATCTGGGGACGTCGTTGCGTTTTGAAGCGTACGGCATAAGCCTTGGTAGCTTAAGGGGTTTGCACTCCCGGGGACTTCGATCGCGAAGCTCATGGTTGCTGCCAAACCGCCTTGGCGGCGACAGGGAGTGGACAATGACGATGTTAGAGTTTGGGATTAGTGTCTAACAGGCTCGGGAGGCTGAAAAGGCGAGATGGCTAACGATGTTGCGCCCGGGTTATGGCAGGACCGTTGCAGGACCGTTGCAGTGCCGGACTCGAGGGGCGATGGTGGGATTGAAGCACGGTGAGACAGGTGCGTGCGGAAAGAATTGGGGAGCCATGGCGGGGTTGATACGAGCTGGATGCTTGTTAGTGCGGGCTATGAAGGGCCACCAATGCACCATGCTGGTAACACCCGGGGCTCCTGGGTCTGACATCGTATTGTGTATAATGGAAGAAATTGATCCCTGGACGCAAGAATGGTGCCGTGTATGGCGTGCATAAATGCGAGAGGAAAAGAGTCGTTGAACGATGGCTGGGAGATTTGCACCATTCCAGTGCTGCATGCACAATTTTGTCCACTGCCTCCCCTCTTTGCCTATAGTGCATACGGCCCGAGCTGATCGGCGCCAACCACAAGGACTGACGGTAGACCCTGGAACCCGGAGCTACGATATGAGTATGAGGCTATAGAGAACCATATGAGAACCTAATGATTTATTTAGAAAATAGGTACTAAGGTAAGCTTTCAATATTGCTAATGTAGGACCTCGTGGTTAACTGAACAAACCCAGGCGGAACAAGGTACAAAGTGGCTCCCAAATGGAAGGTGCTATGGGTACTAACTACCTACCTACCTAACCGAACCTTTTCGCACTTGCCCATTTTCTACCTGGAATTGGCACCAGGTTATAAACACCCTTTTGTCCCTTCCACTGGACTAGAAGCCCAGCACCTTGTTCCCATATTCAAGCAGGCTCGCCTCTTCTTGCTCCTTGGCTAACGCAACGTCAAATGGGGCAAATCCAAATGCCCGAAGAGCAGCTTCGTTGGACAACTCTTTTAACGCGGCTGCATCGGGTCGGCCGACATGATGGCTTTCGCCCGCGCCACCAGGAAAGTCAAACGGCGGAATTCCTTGGATGAAATGGTCGCGCTGCCTACGAACATAGTCCAGATTGATCTTTGTTGTAGGGCAAGCCGGGATGTATAGGACACTTGAGTCGCTCTTGCCGCCGTGCACCTTGTCCACAGCATGGATGGTGTCGCAATGCCACGCAACGTAGTCTCCTGGCCTGATATGCGGCACATGCACCATCGTTTTGGGGAGATTTAGGTGAGGGTGAAGAACGTGGTTCAACTCCTGGCAGTGGCCTGGCCAGGCGCCTTGAAGTTCAGGAGACGCGGGTGGTGCCAAAGCCCAGTTGTCGCTGTCCAAGTACTCAGGGGTATAAGGAGAGCCTGGCTCTGAAGCCCAAGCCTTCTTTGGGGCGAAAAAAGGCCGAAGCAGGAAGTAAGATGTTGAAAGCGACAGTAAGGGGTTGACAAGAAGCGTCCCTTCCTTGGGACCTGTATGCGACATGCCGAGCCATGCCTGGAACATCCGGAACATGCTGCAGGCGCCTGCGCCGTTATACAAGTCCTGCTTGGCTTTCAAGCGGGTGCTCAACTCCCAAGCGTCGAATTCCTCCCACTT